AACATCGGAAACGTTTATTCAAAAAAAAAACATCGGAAACGCTCCGGCGTATATACCAAAAAGATATGTCCACCGAGTCGATTCATATAGCCACCGGAGACGTATAAATCCGGCGGCAGAGTTCATCATCATCTTCAATTCATTGGCAAGGAAAATGATTTCCGTGAACCCAGTCGTAGCGCGCCCACATTTCTTCACCGGAAAGCCAATTTGTCCAGCGTCCCGCACCACCGGCGCGACAGCCGCAACCACGCGCCGCCGTTTCTCCCCAACTTCTGCCAATATCTCTGCTAAGCAAATCGTCGAGCACGTGGTGCTCGTCAGAACCAAACCGGAAGTCGAGCATTCTAAGATAAACGACATGGTCAACAACCTCTACAAGCTCTCTTCCCTTCCGCAGGTTCTCCATCTCACCACCGGTCCGGTCCTCCGTACCCAATCGCCGACGCTATCGTTCACACATCTCTTACATTCTCGGTACGAATCGACATCGGATCTCGAAGAATACAACACGCACCCTCTTCACTTGTCTGTGGTCAGGAATTTTCTCTTCCCGGTTATAGACGATATCATGGTGGCCGATTGGATCGCCGACGACTTTTCCGGTTCTGTTCAGGTCGGCCCTGGTTCCATCATCAGAGTTAAACTGTTAAAGTTGAAAGAAGGGTTGTCTGAAAATGAGAGAAAGGAAATTGTAGATGTAACTAAAGGACTCAAGCAAAAACTCTCGCTGATTGATCAGTTAACTGTTGGGGAAAATATTGCTCAGGCGAGGACGAAGGGGTTTTGTATCGCCTCAATCGGAGTATTTGGAGGATTGGGTGCTATCCATGCGTTGGATGCCCAATCGGCGGCGCTAAATGACCAGAAAGACGGCGTGAGAAGATTTGTTGAGGACGTTGTGGTGGTCGATTATGCCGTTCCTGCAAAGATGCTAATTACATAATTAATGCTTGAATGTCTAGAGTACATTTGAAGTTTTTTTCTTATGAGGGTTTGACACCTTTGACTTTGACCATAGCAATGGTCCATCAATATCTTTTTTATTTTTTATGGTAAAAAGTTTATATATGGGAAATAGATCCAAATAAGATTAGAACATTGTCCGTGTACCTAAATAGGACCGATTACTTTTATATACTGAATAGGACCAATAAATTAGGCCATCTCCAACAGTTAACACCATTTTTTACACCAAAATGGTGTAAACATCACATCAAACAGTATTTTATCTCCAACAGTTTACACCATTTTCATCACTAAAAATGAATATTCTCTTTTTATTCTTTTTACTAACTTTTTACCATTCTTCTATTTAAGTATCTAACTATCATATATTTATACATTAGCCCCTCATTTAATATTTTGATATTTCACACATACAAAGAAATCAGACCAGACCACATCATTTCAGATCAGATCAGATCAAATCAGACCAGACCAACTGAGAGCGGACAAACCAATTTTAGTCCAAGTAAAACATCCTAATTTGTTGTTTTAAAAATGGGTCAAAACTATAATAATTAAAACTTGAAGGTCACATTTAAAAGGAAAAGAAAGCCAAAAAGTTGGATGGTGTGATATATGGTGTACGCCATATATGGCGTGAAGCCATCCTCCCTCCCCCATTTTGGTGTAATGGTGTAATGTTTGGTGCCATTGTTGGAGCATTTTTTTGCCAAATACACCATTTTGGTGTTGAAAATGGTGCTTGTTGGAGATGGCCTTAGCTAAAGACCAATCTTATGTTCTCCGCCGGTGTCACTGACATCATCTTATGTTCTCAGCCCCCCTCCCTCTCTCTTTCTGAGTCTAGTCACGAGGACGGTGAATTCAGGTCAGTGATTCAATTTCAAACTACCACCTTTGTTTACAGGGATGTAGATAGAGAATCATTTGCGCGCCTTAGTATTTCTTTCTCAAATCATGACTGTCTGGCTGATGCTAAAGTATACTTGTCCTATTTGTGGACGTGATTTGCGTTTACCAGCAAACAACCTCAGCCATCTCGGGGAATGAGTTTTATACGATGGTGGGGCTTATGCAGCTTTCAGTGATGCCGCAGGATTGTGACCTACAATATAATTAGAGCAACTCTGAAAATCAACTGATGGAAGAGCTGAACGTACTAATCTGCATGTCTGAGGTATAAATTACATAAACATTAACTTAATAATTATACGGGTAAATATTTCAACTGACACTATTATTATTATTACTCAAATTTCCTGTCCAGAAATCCTACTTTACATTGCAATGCAGGCAGACATGTAAATAGTTGTGTTTCTTTAAGTATCGATACTCATGATAGCTTATTCAAATCCTGAAAACAATCACAACAAGAGGTTTTTTTTATTACCAAAATAGTCCCCCATATCAAACGAAAAAGAGATAAGGGTCAGATAGGGTCTCGAACTTGAAAAAAAATGTCAAATAGGATGCTCTGTCCGGCCGACGCCATTTGGGGTGGTTCCCGGTAGAATTTTTTGATGAAATTTTTTGAGAATCTTATTCATTAAGTCTAGTTTACTCATATCAAATTTGAACTAAAACTTTAATGGGGAAGGCATTCAAATGAATTCTTGAAGATAACTGTACCGTTAAAAGCGCAGTTATCTTCATGAATTCATTTGAATGCCTTCCCGATTGAATTGTTAGTTCAAATTTAATATGAGTAAACTAGACTTAATGAATAAGATTCTCAAAAAATTCCACCGGGAACCACCCCAAATGACGTCGGCTGGACAGAGCATCCTAAATATGGCCTTATTTGACATTTTTTTTCAAGTTCGAGGTCCTATCTGACCCTTATCCCAACCAAAAACTAATATTACAAGAGTAAATAAAACCCTCTATCTTCCAAATCAAACTAGCAAAATCTCATATTTGAATTGTGTTCTCATGGTAGAAAATAAAACACACTACAGTATAACGGACTAGGAGGGGACAAGTAGTGGCAGCAAGAATTTCCACACTCCACAAAGCCGCTGCGCTGAAGAAGTCACGTCCTGCAATTGAAGAAGTCGCAGTCTACGATCGAAGAACCCGATGAGTGAGCAGCGAGCTGCGGAAATCTTCTCCTCTCGTACCCTGGTGCAGTTTGAAAAAGCCGCAGTTCTATCTCATCTTCTCCAGACTTTTTCATCTAAACTTTTACAGTTCAATTTGTTTTTAGTTTGCCCCTAATATCCGCAGCTCTTTGTTTTTTGAGAAAAATAAATAAAATACCCCAAACTTTGAAAGGGTGTGAGGTAAGCACCCCAAACTTGAATATGTAGTTTTAATACCCCAAACTTAATATAAAAAGTTATTTTAGCACCATCTTGTATTATTTATTTAAAAAATGTTCATTTTTTGTGTTAATTTCATAATTTAAAATAGTTTAGCATTCATGTAGATACAATTAACATTCTAAACTTTAATTATAAAATAAATAGCATCACCCCCACTCTATATAATTGAAACCTTCCCAATTTGCTATTTTAAATTATGCAATCAACACCACAAATTTAAAATTTTGAAATAAATAATACATGATCATGGTGCTAAAATGACTTTTTATGTAAAGTTTGGGGTATTTTAATTACATATGAAAGTTTGAGGTGTTTATGTAACCCCCTTCAAAGTTTGGGGTATTTTAATTATTTTTCCCTTGTTTTTTTTAAGTCTTAACCTTACACTGTTTGAGTTTACTACTACGTATGTTTTTAGTTTACTCTGTTTCTAGCTTACAATTTACACTTTTTCCATCTGTTTTCTTGATTAATTAAATTTTAGTTTATTCCAGTTTATTCATTTCAATTTAATGATTAATTGATTTTTAGTTTATTCCAGTTTATTTCTTTCAGTTTATTGATTAAATATTTTCAGTTTATTACTTGATTTACTTCAGTCCAATTATTCCACCAAGTAATAAGGTCTTATGTGTTACTTTTCAAAAGTAAATTGTGTTGTCTTATAAGTCTGAATTGTTCTTTGTACAATTCCATTGTCTTATAAGTTTGAATTGGTCTTTGTACACTTGCCTGATGTCTTGATTAAATATTTGTGATTACCCTTATGATTAGTTATGCGTTTCGGGCTAATTGTGTGATGTATCTTTTGAAACTTTATGCCGCACTAGTATTATTCTTAATGAATTTTATGACTACTTATGCATTTTTGGCATAACTATACATTATATATTATATTTTTATTATTTTTATAAGCACAACGTTTTGTGAAAAGCTATGCTTCGCTTAGCGCCTTCACTTTAAAACAAAGCCGAAGGTCATCACTTTTGGCCGTTTTTCGCTTTAAAAAAGTTAGGCGTGCTTCAAACAATAACATTGAGGATGACATTAAATACGAAGAAATTCCACTTTTGATCCTTCGAGTATCACATCAAATCCACAATTGATTCACGTCTTGGACTTTGACCATTTTTGGTACATGACTATAATGTTTTCATCTGTATATGGTCCTTTGTCAATGTGTTTGATGATTAAAATCGTTGAAAAAGGATCACAAATAGTTAAAAAACATTAGTGAAGTAACATTGTGAACAAATTGAAAGACATGGACTAAGAATGTTTTTTTTTTTTGAACTGAAATTTGCTGGTCTGGTCTTAACTGGTCTGGTAAACGTCTGGTCTCTGTGTATTTTATAACTACGGAAATCTGATCTGGTCTGGTCTGATCTGGGACTGAAAACTGTCCAAAAGAAAACATTCTAAATGTGAACTTGACAAAGTTCATATGATCAAAAGTGAAATTAATTTCATTAAATAGTGAAGGACAATTTGTGCGACTAGAAGACAACATTTGAAAATAAAAAACAAGTCAGCTCTCAGCTCTGAATTGTCCATCAATGATATAACTAGCAATTTCAAAACAGGTCACTAAAAACAGTACTATGTTATTCAAAAAAACAGCACTATGGAGACGTTATATTTGTGCGGACTGAACATTCAAAGGATACTGAACAAAGTACAAACCCAATAAATAAAAGTTGCTCGCTGGCAAAGTCGAAACAAACCATAAACCCTAATACCCTATGATGTAATGAAAAAGAAATTTCATAGGGATGATATAAATACAAAACGTCCGGGACTTATTTAAATTGGACCAAATCAATAGCAGATAATAAATTTAGGTTCGTACTCAACTAAACAATAATAAAGCTCAGTCACTAGGATGAAAGTAATAAAAGGAAATCCACCGGAATCTATTAAAATCCATCTAAATAAGTAAAAATAGAAATCCAAACGTCTGAGATCATCTTGATTTTTATAGATTCCACAGAAATCCAAATCGGAAACACCTAAGTTCTGATGGAATTCGAAATTCTATTAAAATCCATATTGGGGACACCCCTAAGGATGTTTTTACTTAAACCATACAAGACCAGACTCAAACAAATTAGACTTAGACAGACCAAACAGACCAGACAAGTAAATATCAATCTAAGTACAAACATCCCACTCATATTTAGCGACATTGGTGTTGGCCATGAGTGTTTGGAAAAATGAGTGACATTGTTCCAATGAAAATATCTCCCAACTGGTAGTTTGTTGTCAAGTAACGCCGTCTCGTAGATCACTTCTCCACTTTGCAAGTTCAAACTGAATATAGAGTGGCCGTTCTTCATATATACTACATTCCCATCAGGGTGGAAACATATAATGTCAGGAGGATGTGGATTCCCTCTACGCCAATTTAGCTCATCAATGGAAAGCTTGAGCACAAAACTCCATTTACTACTACTAGTACAAGTAATACTACTAGGGTGGTAGTCCTCCAATTGGAACATAACAATCTCAATGTCTTTTAAATCAGGATATGCTTGAGGTCTCAAAATACAATATCCTCCCAAACATAGACGATCCCGGCTTACCCCAAGGATACAATTGTGGAACTTTAAAAACAACTCGGGGGGGGGGGGGGGGGGGGGGTTATCGATGGCACAAACACATATTTTAGGAGCATTGAAGGGGCCAAAACAGATCGAGAAGCCTGTCAATGGAGCATCCCTTTATGCGTCACAAGCCCATCATCGTACACCAGAAAGTCCTCCATAGAGGGTCGTGGGAATGACACCCCATTATGCTCTGCCCATCGACCTCCCTCGGATGAAAACACATGGACATTGAACTGGTAAACAGTTAGCTTAGTTTGAACCACAATAATGCGCACCACCATAAATTTATAGTGAGAATTGTCTGTTGCTGCTGCAGATTGAGGCAATCCATTGCTCTGGCAAAGCGAACACGGGGAGGGGACAACCAGGAATCCGATTACGGGTTCCAGCCCTTTTTCGACCACAAGTGGGGCAGGAGGAAGAGCAATCCATTGCTTAGTTAGAAGGTTAATACATAAAACAGCAATCTGCTGCATCCTGGAAAATCACAGGAGTAGGTCTCCGAAGAGCATAGAACTAAATCCGCAAACAATGCTCTCACAACAACATTGGGTTGGGGAAGAAAACTGAAATCCACATTTAAGCAGGAAAACTAGTTCGCAAGACTAAACGAATTTGGCGGTTGAAGAGTTGGGTGGCTGTGCTGCCGGTGAATGTAGAAGCGAATAAAATAATCTGAAGATATAAGGAAACACCACCTCTTGCATACCAATTTCAACTGGGTAGCCGCTCGCCTGGGAAGCCTGACGAGGATTTCAACTAGCAAGCTTTCTCCCAAGTAGAAGTCGTCGCCTGCGAAATTTGATAGCTTCAGATCCCCACGGCGCCGGCAAACCACAAGACCCATTTCGCTGCAACTCCGCCGCGACCCACCTTCTGGATCCATAGCCCAGAATCCAATGCTGTGTCGACTCTTCGATCCGTACCAGATAACAATTTATTATTCCATTCTCTTATTTCTACACTAGTATAGTACCCGTGCATCCGCACGGGAAAGAATAGTTGGTGCATATATTTTACTCATGATCTAATTAATTATTAAAATAAAAATAACGTTTTAGGATTCTACATTTTCAAAAATTAAGAGTACAATAAGCTAATACACATACAAAAATATTTTATGAAGAGTATATTACGGAAAATTAATTGTCAACAATCATTAGTTGAGGGCCTTGAGGCAAAAAAGTGAGAGGCAAAAAATAAATTGTCAACACTCATTAGTTGAGGAAAACTAATTGTCAACACTCATGATTAAATTAATTTTAAAATTAAATACTATTATAAAAAAGTGAGATGCAAAAAATTTAAGTGAATACAAAATACTCCGGGTATTAAAATTAACAAATATTAATTAAATAAGAACTTCCTACTCATTAATTAATTTATTGTTAACATATGAGAGAGAATTATTCTGTTCAATTGTTAGTCGGCTTATCTTATACCTAAAAGAACTACTTATCAGAGAAACTTCTTCTGATCAATTGTTAGTCGGGTTATCTTATACCTAAATAAATACATATGAAAGAGAAAATTGTTCCGCTTAATTATTTGCCAACTTATTTTATCTTATACGTTAAAGAATTACATATATGAGAGATGGAAAATCTCCCGCATATATGTTAGCAAGTTTATCTTATAATAATACCTAAAAGCACTACACATGAGTGAAAAAAATTTCCCGTTCAATTATTATCTTCTTGTTATTATACTTCAAAGCACTACATATGTGAGTGAAAATTCCCACGCTCAATATGAAATCACTTTATCCAATACATAAAAGCACTACTACATATGAGAGAGGAAATTTTCCCGCTCAATTGTTAGTCGGATTATCTTATACTTAAAAACAACTACATGTGAGAGAGAAAGTTCCGCCGATCAATTGTTAGCAAGCTTATCTTCTTATCTACTTAGACCTAAAAATACTGCGTATGAGAGATATACTTAGTCTCGCTCAATTGTTAGTAAGCTTCTTTTCTATCTTATACTTAAAAGAATTACATATGAAAAAAGAAAGTTCTCCCGCTCAATCATTAGCAAGCTTATTATTTTCTTATCTTCTTATACATAAAAATACCATGTATGAGAGAAAATCATCTCGCTCAATTATTAGACGGCTTATCTTATTCTTAAAATATCTACATATATATGAGAGAAAAGTAATCTAGTTCAATTGTTAGCAAGCTTCTCTTCTAATTTCTAAAAGCACTACATGTGAAAGAGAAAAATTCATCCGCTCAATTTTTAGCAAGCTAATATTCTTATACCAAAACACTACTTATGAGAGAGAAGATTCTCTCGCTCAATTGTTAACCGGCTTATCTTCTAATCTTCTAGTACCTAAAAGCACTGCGTATGAGAGAGAAAATTATTCCGCTCAATTATTAGCAAGGGTATCTTCTTATACCAAAACCACTACTTGTGAGGAAAAAAATTCTCCCACTCAGTTGTTATCAGGGCTTATCTTCTTATACCTAAAAGAATTACATATGAGAAAGAAAATTCTCTCACTCAATTCCTAGTCAGTTATCTTTTATATAAAAGGATTACATATGAGAGTCGCTCTGTTGTTAGCCAGATTATCTTATACTTAAAAGAATTACATATGAGAGAGAAAGTTCTCCCACTCAAGTGTTAGCAAGCTTATCTTCTAGTACTCAAAATCACTACATATGAGGAAACAAAATTCCCGCTCAATTGTTAGCTGAATTATCTTATAGAATTGACGGTTGCTAAAATTGAGTGTGATTACTTTTCTCTCATACATGAAGTTATTTTAAGTATGAGATAAGTTGTCTAATAATTAAGTAAGATAATTTTATCTCTCACATGCATTATTTTTAGGTATAATAAGAAGATAAGAGGATAAGTTTGCTAATGATTGAGCGAGAGAACTTTCTCTCTCATATGTTGTTCTTTTAAGTATATAAGATAAGATAAGATAGTAGTGATTATGGGAGTGTTTGCAATTGCTTCAACTTTAAAAAAGTGATTTTTTAAAGTGATTTTGGGAAAAGTGATTAATAGTAAAAGTTGGTAGTGTTTGAGAAAAAAGTGATTCTGAAAAAGTAAAAGTTGGTAGTGTTTGGTAAAATAAGTACTTTTTGTGTAATAGAAAAAGTGAGAAACAGTTTAAAGCACCCTTCTACCTGCTTCCAGCTTTTAGCTTTTAAGTGATTAATTTAAGCAGAAATTATCATTTGAAAACACTCTTTTCAGCTTTTTTTAAGCCAAAAGCTAAAAAGTGCTTTTTTTAAGTAATCCCAAACACTGCTTATATAAAGTGATTATATAGGAGTAGTGATTATACAAATGATGACAATAAATTTTTAGAAATTTGCTAGCCAAAATTATGATAGAGAGGATATCATCTCTATGCTTGGTTATTTCGGTTGTGATTTTGTAGATCTAACGATCAAGTATAGATCTCACTTTGCATGTACTGAATTGAAAGTCCAAAATAATGACGAAATGCAAGTGGATTTACTATGCGATTATTTCGACTTGATGATTTTTTTGGTATTGGCTCATACATTTTTGTTGTCGACTGTATATTTGTCAATTGTGAATGTTCATGAGATGTTATTTGTTGAGCTTAAAGTGTACACAAAGATTGACGTGGGTTGCAACAATAATCATCGATCCCAGTGGTGAAATGCTTCAATTTGTTCAGCAAGAATTTGGAACAATCGGCCGCCCTCATCCCTATGGCTAACTTTCAGAGTTGCTTTGAAATACTACTGCTAGAGGAAACTCATATTGGTGTTTTATTACAGGTGTTTTGAAAACTGGTGCACATTGGAGTACTGGACAGTACAACAAAAATGCATCCTTAATATGTTTGTGTTCTACAAAACCTGCTTAAATAAGATGAAAGCTCAATATCTAAGAAATTCCGATGAATATCATCATACATTATTATAGGATAATGAGTCACCATGAAAATCCGATTTTCTCTCAGCCTTGATTTGTGGTGTAAGTGGGCAGATGAGGTTATATGCCAGCCAAGAGATATTTAAATTGTGGATCTCAAGATTTGCACTGCTATGAGACAATCAATACAATTTTAAAACGTTTAAAGTTATAAACAAAGCATGGTATGATAGAATAGACTTATTCTCCACGATTTTACAGCGACCAAGCGTTCAATGGTTGACATGATTTTATACCGACAAACTGTGATGAAGGAGAAAGTCAAATGATATTTAACACACAAAAAGTTTTTGAGATATTACCCAAAACAGGACTAAAAAGGTTTGGAAATTCTAAAATAGGACTGTCATGTTTTTATTCCCAAAATAAGACTAATTACTGTCATGTTTTGGCAGTACCAAACTTCTAACAAGACAGTATTTTCCAAACATGACAGTAATTACTTCTATTTTGGGAATAAAAACTTGGCAGTTCTATTTTGGAATTTTCAAACTGTTTTAGTCCTATTTCAGAAACTTTCCCTAAGTTTTTTATTTTTTCTTAGGTTCATGATGACATTAAAATTCATAAAAATTCAAAAAGCAAACAACCTTAATGACATAATTGAAAATCAACTGAGTTCTATTATAGGATTAAAAAAAGTAACTTGCAAAACTGGAAAAAAAATTGAGTAGCGCTTATAAGAGTTAACTATTAATTTCCAAAAGATGTGACACCATATCTATGAAGAAAATTAAAGATGTGACACCATATCTATGAAGAAAAATTCTTCATTTTTCTTCTTTTGCATAATATATGTTCTGAATTTGAATTTATAGTTATGCAGAATTTTAAGTTTTGATTAAGTGAAGAGTGGAGAAAGAGCTAGCAAAGTCTTAGTTGATAAATCATTGAATCTTTGGCCTATTCAAGCTTTGGTCTATTACTATTGAGTTTTTAAACGTTACTATAGTAGGGAGTTCCATTTTGGGGAAAATAAGAATTTCATATTTTCTAATACCAATACAGATTGGTTGGTTTAGTTTTAAGTCTATAGTTTTAGAGACATTTCAGTACTTTGAGGTCATCAATGTAATTGTGTTCATCCTACTCTTAAGCAAGGAAAAATAACCAATTTCTAATTTTCTACTACACCATATCTTGAAAAAATATAAGATTTAAGTATCAAGTTCCAAAAGCAATAGTTAAAAGAGGTGACACTATATCTTAAGTTCCAACAAACATTCTCCTATTTGATTCCTTATTCACCTCAATTTTTTACTATATTTTGAATTTTACATCACAAATCACAATCATAACCATCTAAGTTCATAAAGCACAGAAAAACAACAACAAAACATAAATGGTGTTAAGAAGAGTAAAGCGCTTCTTTTAGGCCCCTTCTCCACTGTTATAGGCAGCCCCTTGGTTCTTTGTCCTACTTTTTTATTATTATTCTTTATTTCTAGGCCACAGATGAAAGAAGCTTTTAGTAAAGAAATCAACTTTCAAACAAAATAGTCATATGAAAAGCTCCAGATGAAAGCATCTCTTATGTAAAGAAATAAAGGGAACAATCACTGCTACCCGGACAGTGAGAGTAAGAAGCAAAAATGTTGATCTGCATCTGCATATATACAGTTGTATATAGTGACAATATTACTTTGAGGTCTCCTAGTTTCAATGAAGAGGTGGGTGCGGCAATCTCGCATACGATTAGAGATGAAGTGCAGATATACACAGGCTTCCTACCTAGTTAGAAGTATACTTTTTTCTTTGTTGAAGTTTGACTAATATGCAACAAAAAAGCTGTCCAAAAACCCGCTCTCAAGTCTAGTTGCAGCAGGAAAATGCAATAGACCAACAACAACCACTCAAATGTAAGACAACTCAGCTGAAGTTCGATAAAATCGTGAAGGAAATCAGCCTAAAGACCTGGTCTAAAGTCTAAACTGCCTGGAAACAACTACATATAAACCTGCTCTTAATCAGCCAAAAATCTACCTATAAACC